CCTTATCGCCATGCCTTTGACAAAGTCAAGCGACCGGCAAAAAATCCGTTCAGGAATGCAGATGCAAACACGGTCCTAGAAGCCGCACCAGAATGCACATTGTCAATGCATAAGAGGACACATAAATGAAATCTAAAACAGGGATATCATGCGCCAGCTTCAAGTCGAAGGCTCTGCTAAAATCACGGTCCCGAGCGCATAAGACGTAATCATACACCTTCATACAATAAATACCTATGCCCCACTTATCCGCTTAGTTTTTAGTAGAAAAAGAACCAATTGGAAGTTGTATTTAGCTTTTGGCTTGTAATATTCCATTGCTCACTGTAATTTATATAATTCTTGATTGATTATTGACTTATCTATCTTGTAGTTCCCTGCACGAAGCCCCTGCGTGCAAAAAATTAAAAAAAATTACTTAAAATATTAAAAAATATATAAAAAATAGAAAGTAAAATTTCTTAAAAGTATTTTTGAAAAACCAAAACAAGCAAGATAAACTCAAAAAAAATATTTTTTGAAAACTTGAATTAATTTCTAACCTTTTTTAACAAATTAATTTCTAACATTTTTTAAATCTTAAAAAAAAATAAAATAATAGATGCCTTCAAAATGAAACCAAACCAAACATAAACTCAAAAAACCTCCTCAACACAACAGTCACGCGATTCGTCTCTGCACTCTTTCACAACTCGAATTCTTCGTCGAAAACTTGATCTACAGGACTCTCTTATACTAAAAAATATTCAAATCTCCGATCTCAAAGACTGAAAACACACACACACACACACACACACACACACACACATATATATGTATCAGTGCGATCTGCAGGAACTGTGTCTGATCAACGGTTGCTGATGAGGGATTCACAGAAGCTTCCATAGAATGGCGGAGCAGGCGATCGAGAAGAGCTCGTCTGAAGCGGAGACGAAGAAGAAGAAGGAGGACCTCACAGATCCAGAATTCTTCAGCTGCGTCCTTCAGCCTTCCCCTGCCGACTCCGATGCCGATTACATCGGAACTCGTCGCCTTCTTCTCCATCGCAAGGCTCAATCTGGTGTTCTTCGACGCAAGGTTTGATTTATATACATACTTGTATCTGTGTATTGTAATTTTAGATCTGTGTTTGGATTAGAAAAAAATGAATGTATAGAAGTGTGTCAATCTAATGTCCACGATATTGCATTGTGATATTCAAAATGATGTTATTAGTATGAGTGAAAGTGAATCTAGCTACTTGATATAAGAGATTTTGGATGTAAGATCGCAAGATGATGTCTTAGTTTGTATGGATTGAGTGATTTGGTGATTGGTAGTGTATTTTTTCATAATACGGAGAACTCCCATTTTTCACTTACATTTAGTTGGATTGGTTGAATGCAAATTGTCTGGTGATCAGAGATAGTGTAATTGATTGGAGATCTGCTGGAATCATTTCTGATCAAGGGGCTTTTTCTGTTAAGAAGCTTGTTTGATGATATTCAAGGCTCTCAGGGCACATGTTACCAATTTACCATTGTTGAGGCTGATTCTTTTGAGCTTATAGATCTTATAAAAGACACTAGTTTTCAGCCTTTTATGTAAAGTCATCATAGCCAGATAAATATTTCTTCATATAGTGTCGTACGAACTAGCAAACAAAACTCAAAAAAAATTCTTATAAACTGACGTGGCACCTATCATGTTTGTCAATTGGGTCTTATTTTCCAAAATTTTATCACTGTATGCCATGTCAGTTTTGTAAGAAATGTTTGTAAAAAAAATGTATGTATAGAATTTTCCTTTTTAATAAGGCGGTTTTTCTGACTAAAATTCGGTGACAAGAAGGCAGTTTTTTGGGTGGCAACTGAAGCTCATAGAAGGTTGTTTTGTTTTCCCTAGACTGCTCATCTATTTCCCTCTCCCCTCTTTGGTAGAGCTTATTTACACCATTGCAGATGCGTCCAAGAATTATTACATATTAGGGAACATTATTTCGAAACAGCAATAACTCCTAATTATAGCAATCTATTTTAGAAGAAACTGTGTATTTGCACTCTTTTGTTTCTTTGCTGTGACTAGGACAGGAGCATTAATAATTAATAGTGGGAGCAAGGAATTTTATTATTAGTATTTTAAAGTATTATTTCTCTCTTACATCTGTATGCAAAGAGTTTCAATTTCTTTGTATGAGTTTCTACATAGAGATCTCGTGTATATCTTTCTATGCCCCTTTGATCAACAAAACCTTGGCTTAGGTTTTGATAGGATAGGAAATTTGTGGCCAACAGATATTTATCAACAAAAAAAAAAAAAAATTTGTGGCCAACTGATCTAATCATCTAAATGGTTAAGAATTTCACCGTGCATATTTGTAAGGGCTTATGTGCATATATATTTATGCTTGCACGTATATCTATCCATGAATTTGATCTAATAAGTTGTAATATCATAGGATTTTTATAAAATTTATTGAAATTATTAGGGCTCTCTTACATCTGTATGCAAAGAGTTTCAATTTCTTTGTATGAGTTTCTACATAGAGATCTCGTGTATATCTTTCTATGCCCCTTTGATCAACAAAACCTTGGCTTAGGTTTTGATAGGATAGGAAATTTGTAGCCAACAGATATTTATCAACAAAAAAAAAAAAAAATTTGTGGCCAACTGATCTAATCATCTAAATGGTTAAGAATTTCACCGTGCATATTTGTAAGGGCTTATGTGCATATATATTTATGCTTGCACGTATATCTATCCATGAATTTGATCTAATAAGTTGTAACTTGTAATATCATAGGATTTTTATAAAATATATTGAAATTATTAGGGTAAGAATTGAATGGACTTTGAATCCCTATAACTACGAATGAATGAATAGATTGACAGTTTACATAGGATTCCAATATAGAAATCTATCATCATGAATGGAGTCATTTAAGGAAATGAAGCCATCTTAATTAATTTTAAAAAGTTGGCCTTTTGTCACTTCAGAGAAACTTAAAGTTGATCACTTGCTATGAAATATGGTGAAGTCCCCTAGTTTACACAATGGCTCCATTTAAGCAATGGGTTTGCATTTAGCCATAGAAAGTAAAATGAGACCTATCAAATATGAAGGGATATCTCCCGATGTGTTGAAAGATTTACTATGGTAAATCAGGTGCTAAGAAGCATGAATTTGGAGAGGAAACATAATACGACATGATACGGACATGCAAACATGACAATTTAAAAAAAAAAAAATGATATACAACACAGTTGGGATACTACAACAAATAAATAAATATTTTTATATATACATCAAAATAATAACTTTTTAGTTTTTTGTTGAAAATAATTTATATTTCATTCTATTTTCAAAATAATAAGACATCATTTTTTATAATTTTTATATTGGAAAAGAAGTGCAAATCAAAATTCCTAATATATTTTTTAAAAATATCTTCACAAACTCATTTGGAGTTGTGGCTTTTAGAGTTCCTAAAATTAAAAAAACCAAGGGAAGAGAGATTAATAGGTATAAATCTACTTTTTTTAGATTGTGATGTGTTTTATGAATACCTAAGTGATGGACACATATATCTTTTAAGCGTTCTCCCGTGAAGTTTTCATTTATAATATATAGGAATCATAACTATTGTTGTCATTTTTAGTTTGTACTTTCAAGAAATTAGACCACCTGAAATAATCTGGAGTCTGTGAGGCTTATGCGACCCACTGATTGTTGAAAGGCTTATTTAATGTCAATTTTGTCCCTAAACTTCTAGAAGAGTCAAGAGTTTTGAGACTAACAAAATACCCTTATCTGGAACTGCTATTAGATCAAAATGAAATTTAGATTAGGTTTTTTAAATATTTGTCCCTACCTGGCTGCATCATGATTCACGACATTTGTATTTGGCACTAAACCAAGATGCTGTTAAAACATTGCCAATTATTAGAGATTACAGATTCATCAAGTATTATTTATTTGACAGTATAATCATTTCCAATGGTTAGAAGCATTACTACTAGAACTTTTCAAGCATGTAATGAACAATGTGAGCTTTATTATTATTTTTATGGGCATTCACTTGGACCAAAAATGACTTAATGCACTAATTTGTGTTGAAGGACTGGAGATGCAATGGAAAAGGTTATGTGGCCTTCCGCAATTATATTAGCAGGCCGAGGAACTGGGAAAGTTTGCATATACCTAGCCACCCAAGCTCTCCTGGCCAAAGGTTGCTGAAATTTCACTAGATGTTTACAAGTATAGTGAAATGATTATCATAGTGATTACTGAAATTTGCCTCTTAAAAGTGAGAATTATAATAATTGTGCTTGCATGTTTGTTCTTTTTTCTTTTTTTATTATTTTATTATTTTTACAATGAATGAAATTTATAATCACTGTAGATTCAGATTGAGTTGAAGCACTTAAGTGATGAAAATCTTTGAACAAACATAACATAAACAACCTAAACTCTAGATTTATAATCTTGAATACATTAATTTGTGCTGCAATTTAATGTGTAATGTCTCAAAGGTCATATTTTTGTTTATTCAAACTGCTACAATTGAGAATCTTTATCTCCTGATTTGAGTCAAAGGAAGGAGATAGTAGAACTATTCTTCAAAAATAAGAGATTTTTTTTTTTTTTTTTTAAAGATGATCGCATTACATACTGTCATACTGATAACAGGCTCTTTTTCTTATTGTTTTACCAAGTTTATAAGTACTCAAAACATCATTCTCTTTTCTCATCTTTCTGATATGATTATTATTTAAATTCATGTTTCCATACAATTCTGACATCAGGGTAATTTACTGGTTGATGCATCAGTGGGCGATGGATATCATCTCCAGGTCCACTCTCTCTTTCTTTTGAGATGGACAGCTGGAGTCCTATCAGGGTATGCCTCATTTCTATAATTTTTCTCAAAATTTACTTTTTTAGGTTAAATTGCAAGACATATTGCCTCTTTTGTTTTCTCTCTCTGCTGTACATTTATTCAACAAAGTTTCTCTATGTGGGAGAAAACAAACCTACAATCTATTATTTAAGAATGCTTATGCATTGATTGCAGAGAAAAATTTTGCAAATATATGGTTGCTTTTTACTGTCTTAAATTCAACTCCTCCCTCTTCTCTTCTTGTTGTTGGTGTTTCCGTGTGATTTTGTGAGGTGTATTTTTTTGTCTTGATAGGACAAATAATGATCTTGATTGTTGTATGCCACTGTCTCTGTGTGTGTGAATTGAGGATCTGGATCAGCTACAATGCTTGGAGTGCATTATGTTATAATCTGGGTTTTTGCGATGCTTATTGTACATTTATACTGTAGAAATCATTCGTAGTGATTAAATCTCAATTGCTAATTGTTCTGCTAATTTGAGGTGGTGTGGAGTTAGGACATCAGTTGCTAATTATGATGACATACTCTATATTCGGTTTAAATAGTTGTCTTCTGGTGCCAAAGTATCTAGACATGATTAATGGAGTACACTTTTTCAACACGTGGCTCTTGCTCCTGTATCATGTGTCCTGTTATCATGGCATGTGTCTGAGATTCTGATCGAACTTTGCTGTAGACTTTATGATCTGTAAATGGTGGGAACTCCATAATGTTAATCAAATATTGAAGTCGTTTTCAACCATGGGATTTACCAAAACAAAAAGGTTGCAATCTGCCAAGTATATACTGTTAAGTTATTAAACCTACTTGCCTTCATGTGCAAATATTTTTCTTTTTTTCTTTCCTTTTTCTTTTTAATAGAACTCAGACCTTAGTTTTGAGAAGAAGTCTAGGGTCAGTTGGGATGAGTCTTTTCCAAGTCGAAACAACAGTTGCATATCCATAAAACACAACAGCTCAGGACAGTTTTTGTTTTAATTTTGTTTCCATGTAATTGTAATATGTCACATTTTCACTTTCTTCACAGGACCTACGAAGTGGCAGTCAAGCTTTGAGTCATAGTCCAAGTTTCAGCTCGAAAGCCTCGAATGCAAGTGATAGTGATCACCCACGTAGAAAAGCTGAACCTGGATATTCCTTTGTGGGGATGCATTGCATCTTTGACCAATGCAAGGCCATGGGTAACTTTCTAGATTGTTTTCATGTCCATTTTCCATCATTTTTCATAGTAGCATGTTTCTTTGTTTTATCACAGTGATTAACCTTGTAGTTTTGTTTTCAGTTACGGTTGTGAAGTTTGGGCAAATGAGTTCTGATCTACTTGCATATGGGGCATCAGATGGTACCTTGACTGTATGCACTGTCTCTGATCCACCTGCAGTTCTCAACCAGTTAATAGGGCATTCAAAAGATGTCACAGGTTGGATTAACTGGTATTGATTCTGTAGGCTTTTCTTAATTCTTATGGTGATGTTTGCTGTATCTGTAGTTTGCTTTTGGCCAAGTTTCTGAAATATATCTATTATAACTTCTTGATTGTTGTGTCCAATAAAATTATCCTTAGATACTTATGTGATCTTGGTGAAACACTAGACAGATAGGAGTACTAGGTCTGAGCACTGTTTTCTGTTCTGTAGTTACACTATGCTGTTCAGATTTTGCAGCCTTCTTTTTTTAACTTTTATTTGAAATATGCCAATTTAATGTAATTTTCAAGTACAAATAATGTAAATTACCTTAAATACTCTAATGATGTTTGGTGAAATGTTCCTTATTTCACTTTGCTGTTGCCAGCTAAAGTTTGCTTGTTTATTTGAAAAATCTAGAGAGAGAAAAAAAAAAAATAGTAGTTAAGTTTGACCTTATGCCTTATGGTATAAAATTGGCGATATAAAATTGAGCCTATCTACAACTTATAGAATGTGATATGCATTTCCACTAAACAAATCCAAACTAATCTAACCTATTTTAGACATTTACACTATGCTGTTCCTATTTTGCAGCTCTACTTCTCCTTTAACTTTTATTTGAAATGTCGATTTGATGTAATTTTCAAGTACAAATAATGTAAATTGCCATAAATACTCTAATGACGTTTGGTGAAATGTATTATACATGGGAGCTCTGTTATCAGAATCTTACGATTCGCGATTCGATTCACGATTCGATACGCAATTTTTGCAAAATCGATACGAATCTATGAGTGAATCTATTTTGGAAATGAATCTCTAGTGAATCGCACGATTCACAATCGATTCACGATTCGATTCACTTTTTACGATTCATGCAATTTTTGAAATTATTGTGTTCGACATATTTTCGACTCATTTTTTCCATCTTTTTAGTAAAAATGACATAATACAACTTCTAATAGTATTTATTACCAAAATAACCAACATATATATATGATTTGTTATTATTTTAGTGATCATGGAGTTTTTTATAGGATCCAATCAGATTCAGTCAAACCTAACATATTTTTAACCTTTCTTCTCATTTTTGTCCCCTTCAAAAAATTGTAATATATCTTCTAAAGATGTTTAAGATTAGAGTTACACTATGAATTATCTATTACTATTTTATTAAATTGAATACTACATGTGTGAGGTCAGTTATACCTGTTAAAATGTTTTAGGCTTTAAAATAAAATATCTAAATAATTCTTTCTTATTATTTGCTCACTCTTACTTAGAAAAGTATATATACTTATTGTCCAAATATCAATATCGTTGTTAACTATTGTTACTTTAGAAATTAATAGTTTCTATTTGGTTATTACCTTTATTAAGAATGGTTGATAAAAAAAACTAAAAAAAAAAAAAAAAAAGAAGATAAGATGGTGATTTTGCATAGGAACCTTTGTTAACTTCTTACCTATTAAATTACGTGATTATCATTCAAAATAACATTTTTGTTGATTTAAGTCTAAATATTTTATATTCATAAGATACATTTAACATCTAAATGTGTAGATATATGTTTTTAAGTGATTTAGAAAAAGTGACTGAATCTTTACGATTCACGATTCGATTCGATTCGCGATTCGATACGAGATCATTTCGATTCACGATACGAATCCCGATTTGACAACTATGGTATTGACCTCATCTAGGGTTTGTGTGATCCTCGAATTTGATTGGCAACATTCGCCTTTTATGTGGTATTTTGAATTAGAAATTTAGGTGGAGGGCTTAAAAACAACACCCAATTAGTAGTACACATGAATGTGTTTGAGAGGGGAAAGATTAAGTACACACCTAACCTTTGGCATAATGTGCAAAGTGCTGGTCTCAAGACTTGAACCCATAACCTCAAGGTTATTAGGCCAAGTCTTACACTTTCATGTCAGAGCAGCCCAAAAGTGATTACAAGTTATATGGTAATTTATTTTTATTATACTTGTGTAATTCCTTTAAATCTTCTTAGTGGATTGTTTTGTGGCTGTTGCCCGTGGTTTTTTTATCACAGTTGGAGGTGTCCAATTGTGGTTTTTCCACGTAAAATCGTTGTGTCTTGATTGTTTGATTGTTTGATTGGGATTGTTATATTCTGCTTAAAATTGATACATAATCACAAATCAACATCTAGGGGATTTCTAGATTTTTCACTTATATCACTTTGCTGTTGCCAACTAAAGTTTGCTTGTTTATTTGAAAAATCTAGAGAAAAAAAAAATAGTAGTTAAGTTTGAGCCTATCCACAACTTATAGAATGTGGTATAAAATTATGCCTTATGGTATAAAATTGGCGATATAAAATTGAGCATATCTACAACTTATAGAATGTGGTAACAAGAGTTTTTAGGCATTTCCACTAAATAAATCCAAACTAATCTAACCTATTTTAGACATTTACACTATGTTGTTCCTATTTTGTAGTCCTGCTTCTTCTTTAACTTTTATTTGAAATATGTCGATTTAATGTAATTTTCAAGTACAAATAATGTAAATTACCTTAAATACTCTAATGATGTTTGGTGAAATGTATTACACATGTGAGTGCTAGGTCTCATCCCTTTCTTGTGTTCCTCCTTATATCACTTTGCTGTTGCCAACTAAAGTTTGCTAGTTTATTTGAAAAATCTAGAGGAAAAAAAAAATAGTAGTTAAGTTTGACCTTATGCCTTATGGTATAAAATTGGCAATATAAAATTGAGCCTATCTGCAACTTATAGAATGTGGTAACAAGAGTTTTTAGACATTTCCACTAAATCAATCCAAACTAATCTAACCTTGGGCACATATATATAGGGAAGGATCAGATGATACTATGTACGATCATGTTTAAAGTTTTGTTACACGGGTAGAGTTTTTGGCTCCTCAAATTATGGATACAATCGAAGCATCTAAAACAAGTTGAGAAACAAACAACATGAAAAGTCTCGCAAATATAAGGAAATAAATAACAAACAAATAGATATCATGGAAAAATATTGCCTAATTATTGCATGCTAAGTATGTTTGAGGCAGTATATCTACTCATATGGCAAGATAATGATTTAACTCAAAGAAATGTTTTATTAGGGGTGTACATCAGTCTGTTCGATTCGGGTTAGAGCCAAACCGACAACTAAATAGAACTTGGTTGGTTCCTAATATTTGGACCTAGAACCAAAATGACCAATTTGTGGATGGAACGAAATCAACCCAACTGGTTGACCAGACGTGTCAAATTATTTATACAAGGCTTCTCATTTTTATTAGAACTATTTTACTATCACCACTCTTATTGTTTGTGTTCTAATGCTAGTCCTTTTCAGATTTTGACTTCACATCGAACAATCAATATATTGCATCATCTTCAATGGATAAAACTGTGAGAATATGGGAGATATCCAAAGGCCTTTGCATTCGGGTGATATATGCAGTCTCTCCTCAACTTTGTATTCGATTCCATCCTGTAAGTAAACACTAGCACGCATGATCTTCCTCATTTAAAACAGTTTAACTGCTGCATTTAAATATCTTCTTTGACATCTTTGACCTTATGCCTTATGGTATAAAATTGGCGATATAAAATTGAGCCTATCTGCAACTTATAGAATGTGGTAACAAGAGTTTTTAGGAATTTCCACTAAATAAATCCAAACTAATCTAACCTATTTTAGACATTTACACTATGCTGTTCCTATTTTGTAGTCCTACTTCTTCTTTAACTTTTATTTGAAATATGTCGATTTAATGTAATTTTCAAGTACAAATAATGTAAATTACCTTAAATACTCTAATGATGTTTGGTGAAATGTATTATACATGTGAGTGCTAGGTCTCATCCCTTTCTTGTGTTCCTCCTTATATCACTTTGCTGTTGCCAACTAAAGTTTGCTTGTTTATTTGAAAAATCTAGAGGAAAAAAAAAATAGTTAAGTTTGACCTTATGCCTTATGGTATAAAATTGGCGATATAAAATTGAGCCTATCTGCAACTTATAGAATGTGGTAACAAGAGTTTTTAGATATTTCCACTAAATCAATCCAAACTAATCTAACCTTGGGCACATATATATAGGGAAGGATCAGATGATACTATGTACGATCATGTTTAAAGTTTTGTTACATGGGTAGAGTTTTTGGCTCCTCAAATTATGGATACAATCGAAGCATCTAAAACAAGTTGAGAAACAAACAACATGAAAAGTCTCGCAAATATAAGGAAATAAATAACAAACAAATAGATATCATGGAAAAATATTGCCTAATTATTGCATGCTAAGTATGTTTGAGGCAGTATATCTACTCATATGGCAAGATAATGATTTAACTCAAAGAAATGTTTTATTAGGGGTGTACATCAGTCTGTTCGATTCGGGTTAGAGCCAAACCGACAACTAAATAGAACTTGGTTGGTTCCTAATATTTGGACCTAGAACCAAAATGACCAATTTGTGGATGGAACGAAATCAACCCAACTGGTTGACCAGACGTGTCAAATTATTTATACAAGGCTTCTCATTTTTATTAGAACTATTTTACTATCACCATTCTTATTGTTTGTGTCCTAATGCTAGTCCTTTTCAGATTTTGACTTCACATCGAACAATCAATATATTGCATCATCTTCAATGGATAAAACTGTGAGAATATGGGAGATATCCAAAGGCCTTTGCATTCGGGTGATATATGCAGTCTCTCCTCAACTTTGTATTCGATTCCATCCTGTAAGTAAACACTAGCACGCATGATCTTCCTCATTTAAAACAGTTTAACTGCTGCATTTAAATATCTTCTTTGACATCTTTGTAAATCCTTGAATTTTCTTAAAAATTCTAAACAATTTTAGCTATTTTTTGACTTCCAAGTTTTTTCCTCAAATCCTTGTTTGGCAGCCTGCAGTTGTAGCCAAAGAGCCAAAAAGTAACTATAAGTTGTCACATCACTGTTTCTATTTTTTTGCATATCTTTTCGTAAAAAGTCAAAAAGTTACTAAAATAGCTTATTCCCAACAATTTTAATTTCTCCTTTATCTTTTTCCCCTGAAAGGGTTTCCTTGAGAATTAGTCAACCTCATTAAAAATCCTCAAAACTGTTTTTGCAAATGGCCACTACTCGACCAACATAGAATTTACTCTTGAGATGCACAACCTTAGATCTGAACTTGAATTGTCTTGCAGCTGAATCTTCTAACGGAATAGGACAACCAAATTTGAATGAAGACAAGCCAATTTGCAGATGGATAAGATAGCCGAGTTTGAACAAGGATAAACCAATCAAGATGGATAAGCCAAGTAGGCTGAAAATGATTGGGGCTGAACTTCAGGATGAAGTTGCCTACGTATCCCAAACATGGGAATCAGGCCTGACGTAGTTCCGGGTTGAGGTTCACTCAGGTGCTAAACCTCTCCTTTTGTGCTCTAACTTTTGCCAAGGCCGTCCTTCCGAGTTTTCAACCTTGCGATGTCATTTAAGTGAAACTTAGATTTTCATTTTTTTTTTATTTTTCTCTTTTGTTTTTCTGTTGGTATATAAAGAGTCCACACCCCCCCACTCTCTCTCTCTCTCTGTCTATATATATATATATAGAAACATAAAAATTAAGAATACTATATATGCATACCCTCCTCGTAGCACCCCAACCAATGACCTGAAATGGGGCCACCTGTGTTGCTCACTTAACTGAACAAAACATAGAAGAGAACCAGAACCAATCCATCTCATTCCAGTGAATAAAAACAAGACCTACCTTTAGCTTGATAGGCCATACGTGGTGGGAGCCACCTCTTGAATCCCATGAGTGGGATCAAAGCGTTGTGTAAAACTAAGTGCTACATCATGCACCACATGAGGATGTGTGGTTTTGAGGAGGGGTGTGTGAGATACTAATAGTAGCCGCTTCTGGCAGTTTTTCATCATAGACTGTATTCATTCAATCTACCTGTCTCATAGGTAGCATTTCTACATTTGATATTCCAGGTGTTCAATTTCAGCACTGGGAGAGTAATTAATAAAACTGTCTTCGACAATGAGGTTACTGCTATGGACCATGATCACACTGGTCAGCTTATTTTCTGTGGGGATGCTCAGGTTTGCTTGTTTTACATTCATTTTGTCGTCTTATTTATCTGGTGAACTCTGATATCTAGTCTTAAAATTTTTCCAAACTGGTAAATTGTACAGGGATGTGTATACACAGTTTCTGTGAACTCACACACAGTCCCGGTCTCATCGCAATCGGAATGGAAGCAAGCTGAAATCTCCTGTCACAACTGTGCAGTATAGAACCTTTTCTCTGCTGGCACGAGGCCCTGTGTTGCTGACATTTACTTGAGATGGAAGTTTTATCTTTTTTTAGGTTTGATTGGCAACTCTCTCTCTCTGTCTCTCAGGTCTTAGTTGTGAAGCATTGATGAGGAAATTGCATTTTGGATTTTGTGGTGTTTCGTTGGAGATACTAGGTTATTTGACTCTTCGATGCTCACTAAAATTGGCTCCACGAGTACACAGTATCCGAGCTTCCTTCTGCCCTCTGCTTTCCCTTGAAAAAGGAGAATTCATAGGTTTGTAAGTCAATTTTGAAGTCAGTAGTTCTACTCTCTTAACTGTTTCACATTGAAGGACCCTTTTCTAATGTGGGCCGGTTTTAGACTTTTCAGTAAAACATGAAAGAGTCTAACAGAACCAATCTATCTCCACTGCTGCTTACTAATTTGCTTATTCGGTCATTTTCCATTATGTTTGGATTAAATGAACACTTGAACCTCTCTCTCTCTCTCTCTCTCTCACTTTAAAGAACTTGCAACTCGATAGCTGCCTACCAGAAATTTGAGCATAAATGTATACACTTGAATAGATTTTTACAAGAAGCTCAAGAGGAAGCATGGCCCTGTGATGCAAGAGCTGTGAGAGGATCTGACTGCTGTTTTCGGATAGCCATCTCTCAAGATAGATGTGGCTTCTCCTGCTTTGGGGAGATTTTCCGATTTTAATCTTGTTTGTTTTGATAGATCCATCTAGAATTTCTACTTTAGAAATACTACCAATCCTGAAATCTATGAGCTTGCTTCTGTTTTCATTACCCTCTTGATTTTTATCTGTTTATGTTTCATTCATGGTTGGGAGATGAAGGGTGCCATGGTCTTGTCTCAAAAAAGAAATCTCAAAATTTTGACTGAAATTTTGTCAAGAGAAGAAATTATATAAAATAATCAGTATATATGATTATTTGAAAGCTTAGCCTGAAATTGATGTTGTCTGGCCAAAGTTTTATTGCTTAGAAATTTCATAATTCTCATTTCTTTCGCAATTTTATGGAATGGTTATGATTATTGATCTTCTTGACATTGTGATCTGTTTTGTGCATGAAGTTGTTGGAAGTGAGGACGCAAACATCTATTTCTATTACTTAACTCGGCCAAGGCATGCATGTGTAAACAAGCTGCAGGTCCGTTTTTCACTACCAAACCGAGTTTTAATAGTCGACAACATTTACAATTTCTTTTATTCTATTTTTTTTGCTCCAATGATTATTAAGACATTTATGATTGCAGGGACATGGTTACCCCATTATAGGTATTGCTTGGAACCATGGAGAGAACTTGTTGGCTTCGTCTGATTTTGGTGGCACGGTTATCATATGGAAGAGAGCTAAGACGGGTTGAGAGAGAATCATTTTCGGAGGTAAAAGTTTGAAATCAAACTAATGGAATGTCAAGGAACTTTAATTTTGTTTGTGAATTTGCCATTTTTTGTGGAAATGGGAACAAATTTATTTGTGTTATACAAGAATTTTACTGTCAAATTGTATTGGACTGTTTAGGAAGCTGAACAATCGCGAATTGAATTTATTTCTTTGTATTTTTGCATTTACAACTCGATCGGGACTTGAAAACAATTCTTTGTAATATTTATGTACACTCAGATACAATTGATCAGTTCATGGTAGTTTATAATAATTTTTAATTGCATAAAAATTTATAAAAAATAACATGATAAATAGACAAGTGAACAGGCCCATTTTGGTTAGTTTTCGTTTTTATGTGTTTTTTGAAAACAATAAATGGAAAGTTCGAAAGCATTTGTAGTTTTCATACAGTTCTTGATTTTTATGCAAAAACATTTTTTTGAAATTTAAATATTTTTGGTGCTTCCTAAGAATATCTTCATTTTAGAAAATTTTTCTTGAAAACAGATTTCGAAAAACAATTGGCCAAACAAGGTTTATTTTATTTTATTTTATTTTCCAGAAAATAGAAACAGAAAATGAAAATGGTACTAAACAAGCTCGATTTTCCAGTCAAATAAAGCATCAAGCAAAGACCTCTTTATTAAATAATTACAACCAACCAAACACACCCTCAACTTTTTGGAAGGAAAATCCTGAACCAAACAAATGTATATGACAAGAGTTTTTTGCTTTTGATGCAGACAACATTTGCCTATGTGTTCTCTGCTTGAAGCCTTACTTTAACTCCCCAACAACTCCTTCAATTTATGTCTACCTCACGATGTGGTGTTTTATGTCGTATTACCTCCGACTATCCACCTGGAAATACCCATATCACACATGAATGTTATGCAGTAGTAGTAATATTTGAGTGATAATGACTATGAGCATATGACTTGGCACACATTATTGAACTTGTTTTGGAACAAATTTGAAAATACACAATATATAATTATTGCTACTAAGATTGAACTATATGCATAAAAGAGATGTATGAGCTCAACACCTAGTCCAATTTGATGACCTGATAGGAGCAATGCAGTTTGCAGGGTTACCTGCAGAGAGTGAGGAATTACATTCCCCATTCTTCATTCAGATGGCCTAGATATAAATCCAGAAGCATTTTCCACGCCACACATAGTGCCATCCTCAACAGAAAATGAAAACCTAACAACAATAGTGCTAAAGACTATATATAGACTTCAAAAAACAAAAACAAAAAAAAACTTAAGATAGAATTTTGGTGTTTTTGGTAATACAAGATCGTCGTTCAATTCTTTCCAAGTAATTGGATCATTTTCCTTGTTCAAGAATCTACGCCCTTCTTCCGCTCCAAGTTTTGAGTAACTATAACCAATCATCTTTTCATGTTCCAAATGGCCAACAAATGAGCTAACAAGAATGTAATTGAGGAAAGATTATTTGGGAAGAACAATGGAGATGAGCAGCTACAAACACGAAGGAAGAACCACAAAAGCAACTGTGTGGAGGGGTGAGAAATTTCCATTAAATAATGTTTGTGAGAAAGTAGCTTCACAGTTGACAAATAGACGAATCCACCCAATGACAATTTGACATACTCACCATGGGAAAATTCTCAAAATTTGACTTCAATACTCAAAAGGAAAAAAAGGAGGAATTTGGGGATAATTAGCATGCCTCATGAAGCCAAGGGGCATATGCCCATGCCCTCGACACCACAATGAGCCCATAACAATGACAAAAGCCTCTAGATCTTGATGAATTTGCAATGTTGTCACTTTTAAACAGAGCTTGAAGAATTCTCTCAAAATTAGCAACTCATATAACTAGAGTCCTAGCCATTCTCAATTTTCCAAAACAAGAGTATCCATTAGAAATTTCAGTGAGTATGCAAGCAATTATTATTGCTTCTTCTATTGATTATTGATTTTTGAAACTTCAGTTCTTCATTCTTGAGCAGAATAATTAGGTGATTCCTTGTGTCAATTGCTTTCTCCCTTATGCCTGTTCTATCATTATCTTCTTCCAAGAACCTGCAGTGCCAACTTGCAAATACAAGAAAATGGCTTCTTCCTTTCTTTCAAACAAATATTAGCATAATCTTTTGGCACTATAGACTATTTTATCCCCTCATTATAGGGTCAGAGACTAGAGTGCAGCTTATATTAAATAAAGAAGAGTCTGTTTTTAAGATGGTATTGACCCATGTGAACATGCGACAATCTAGTAAAGCAGCCTTGTCTCCTAAGACATATGGCTAGAATAACTTTTAGCTTTGGAGAGAGAGAGAGAGAGCAATGATAAACAAAAATTGTCAACAAACTCGGATCAAGTTAACATTTTTAATGTTAGTACGAGAGATATCACTAAGGTTCTTCCTTTAATCCAACTTGACAAAGCCGACGTTACAAAAGAAATAATAAGACAAACAAAATTATCAAAGCCTTATGTCCCAACTATTTGGGGTCAACTACGTGAATCATTACTACTGAGAACACATTAGCTTTTGCCTTTATTGTTTCCAGTCCAACCATTAGGCCATTTAGGCCATCGTCTAAGGCCTCACTTTCTTGCAATAGTGAAGCTTCATAAAAATCTCCTTGGTCCAAATGCTCTCGATAGTAGCAAAGTTTTTAAAGAAGAATGCTTAATCTAAGGCGTAAGCCTTAAGACGTTAAGGGATGAGCATTTCAAATTCTAAAATTTTATATTTAGTAAACAATTTAAATATTTTAAAACAACAAATAAATACATCAAAATTACTTTTTTATGTTTAAATCATCTACTAGACTGAGGGGTTGTTTGGGTTTGTTTGGACGGATTGGATAAGGAGGATTGTAATCCATCAGACTGTTAGTCCTGGGATATATTGTCCATGGACTATTTGGTTCGATTGGATTTGTATCCTACGTTTGTTTAGTCATAGGATTAGATGTTTGGATTGGACTATTTTTAGTGAATCCAATGTTTAGTTGAACGGACTGGATAAGGATAAATGTTCAAAAGACTATTTTACCCTTATAATTTATAATATTTATTTAATATATAATTTTAAATTTGTAATCTATAATTTATAATTTAACAACACTAAAATTTTTTAATTTATAAGGCCATAAATTTTAATTTATTTTTTTCAATTAAATTAAATTTATAATTTATATTTTTTATTTAATATATAATTTTAAATTAACAACACTAAAAAAATAATTTATAAATGTTCAAAAGACTATTTTACCCCTTTTCAATTATTTATTATGTAATAGCATGAGGGTAAAATGAACATTTTACACATTAGTCCTATGGGATACCAGTCCCATGAAAATAATCCCATCTCCCCCCTCGGATACAATAATCCCTCATATGAGGAACTAATAGTCCGGAGGGACTATTAATCCGGAGTAAAAAAATTGAACCAAACAATAGATTATTAGTTCCCATAGAATAATTCCTCAAAACAAACACACTCTTTATATATAATTCTGTAACAGTAGTTGAGTTTTGAATCTTTAACTTCTCCTTAGCTCCCACATATTATTATGGGATAATTACACCCTAGTGGACTTTTGGAAAAAAAAAGTTACATATTAATGAAAAAATTCATAATTTTAAGATTAATATTTATAATTTTTTTTTTACTGATTTGTAGTTATTTTTTCAAAATTTCACTGATTTGATATTTCGCTTATTATTATTATGCTCGAAACACTTATTCATTTAATATTAATTGAAATATGGTGGTTGTTTAAACATAATATATGGAAATAGTAATATTTATGGTTTATGTTATGAACATGTAAGTGAAAATCTAGTTTGGGACAAATCGAAAGGGAATAATTGACGGACATTACCAAAGTTTCACACAATAGACTAAAAGTTAAATTTTTTGGTTGAGTTCTATGTCTTGAAGGGTCGAAGTACTTTTTTTTGGAGACAATAAATAAAGAAAATTTAAAAGGAAGATGCGGTTGAATGTTCTTTATTCTTCGAAATCCCAACTTTTATACTGCTTGGCCACTATCCATTACAGCCACATGTGTCAACTTTTTACTTGCTAATTCGTACAAAACTATATGGAATTAATAAATTTTAACCAACAGTCTAACTGATCAATCAATTTTATTACCCAATCAGTCTAACCCATATATATATATATTTTTTTTCCTATTTGTTGGGCTATGTTGATTTGTTTATTTTATTTTATTTTATTTGTTGGGCTGTGTTGGTTTGAATTTTTTTTTATTAGGGTATAAATAAAAACCCTTCCAAAATAATAACAAAAAAAAACAAAACCAAACCAACATTTATATAAAAAAATAAAATAAATAAATAAATAAAAAAACAACTTTTCGAAGCAAATTGGAGCCTCTCTTTCGAGTCCTTTAGCACGGTCGTATATATATATATATAAAGTTTATAAACCAAACCCTAAAACACACCCTCTCACCCCGCTTCTCATCTCTCTCTCTCTCTCTCTCTCTCTCTCTCTGGAGAATCGTAGCTCCTCTCGCCTCCCTTTCTCACCCGCTGCTCCACCACCGCCTCTGCCATTCCACCACCGTCTCCGCCATTCGACGGCGAGAGTCAATCGTAGCTCCTCTCCCCTCCCTCTCTCACCGCTGCTCCACCACCGCCTCTGACATTCCACCACCGCTTCCGCCTTTCGACGACCAAAGTCGAGCTCAGATCTGGTTGCGGCAGTCGGAGATCGGGGACGTCGTCCTCATCCTCATCCTCTTCGACCTCTGATTCGATCTCTCTCTGTGTGTGAGTGTGTGTGTTAGATTTCACTTTCTATAATCATATATATATAATCGTTTGTTTGTGTTAGATTTCACCTTGATTTTTTTTTTCCTTCTTGTTAATCATATATATACATAATCGTTTGTTTTTCTCTGTGTAATCATCATATTAATACATGTTGTTGTTGTTGATGTTAATGTTGGGCCGGCCTTAGGGTGAGGCGACTAAGGCTGTTCCCTCGGGCCCCCAATTTTGAACAAAATTTAGGGCTCAATTTATTTATTTTTATATTGTCGTATGGTGTTATTTTGATTCGTGTTCGATTGATGTTTAATGTAAAAATTTTCACTTGTAGTTAAAAATAACTTAGAAAGTGTATCGAGAGATTAAATTTTTTCTCATAAGTTGAATTTTATAAAATTTATTTTAACTAAATGAAATTATTCATAGAATGTTTGATTTTAATTCAATTGCATTTTTCTAATT